GTTGTCTGATTTGTTGTTAAATTCCCTCTTAATAATGTTGTAAAGCACTGTGGTAAAAGTGGACACTATATAAATGGCAACAATATATGTTCAATCATCTTTTAAAATTTTAACAAACCGTACACAAAAACAACATACAAAGACACACAACACTCCTTGCAAAATAAAAAAGTTAATGTCTAAACACATCGTTTTCGTATTTCATACATCAGTAATACAGAACAGATAAAAAACAACCAAGAGAAAAAAACTAAACAAAAACATAATGCTCCAAAAAATGTGTACTGTTCACAGTCAATTTATTGCCCATCTCTATACTGTTCAAATGTTCCCTGATGTGTTGCATTAATATTGCTATGTGTCTTGCTAACACTTTGAACCTTACACAAAGTACATATGAAGAGATATATCAAATGTATCATATTTCAAATAATATGAGCCCCTATTGTACAACTTTTTTCTGTAGCCATGGAAACAATTGTATTGTGCTGCAAAACAAGACCTCTGCTCTTACTTTCATACTTACTTTATAGCACAACTGCGCATAATTTTCCGCTTTACACACATTAGTATCACTACCATAAATACTGGAGGATAATCTGTTGGTCAAGGTTGAGATGTTTTAGCTACAAACAAAATGTCAGACTGTATATTGGATAACCGTATGTAATATGTGTAAAGGAGTCATTATCAGACTGGATTTTTTAAAAGTTGCACTGCTGAAGGCAAAAGAAAATTGCATTAGGCTTGTCAGTAAAAGCAAAAAATGCAAGAAACCACTGTGTTACACCGCAGATGTGGCCAAAATAGTAAAAAAAAAAAAAAGTTAGCGTTTAGTAATTATAAAAAAACCAGAGTGAGGAAAATAGTCAGATCTATAAGATTAGGCAGAAAGAGGTTAAGCAAGTTATAAGAGCTTCCAAAACACACACAGAAGAGAAAATTGCCCAGTCAGTAAAAAAGGGGGACAAAACATTTTTTAGATACATAAATGAGAAAAGGAAAGTAAAACAAGGATTAGAAACAAAAGAAGGAAGGTATATAGAAGAGGATAAAGGTCTAGCTGACTTCCTCAATTAATATTTTTGTTCAGTATTTACAGATGAAAATGAAGGAAAGGGGCATCAGTTAGGAAAAAGGACAAATAAGTATTTGTCACATGTGAGTTTACAGAAGAAGAGGTTCTATTTCAACTGTCAAAAGTAAAGACAAATAATGGGACCTGATGGAATACACCCAAAGTTATTAAAAGAGCTTAGTGATGTACTAGCAAAACCATTAACAGATTTATGTAACCAATCATTGTTAACAGGAGTAGTCCCAGAAGATTGGAAGTTAGCGAATGTTGTGCCATTCACATGAAAAGTAGTAGGGAGGAGTCAGCAAACTAATAGGCCAGTAAGCCTTACTTCAGTAGTGGGGAAAGTAATGGAAACCATGTTAAAGGGTAGGATTGTTGAACATCTAAAATCACACAGATTTCAAGATCAGAGAAAACATGGGTTTACTTCAGGGAGATCATGCCAAACTAATCTTATTGATTTTTTTGATTGGGTAACTAAAATAATAGATCAGGGTGGTGCAGTTGTCATTGCTTGCCTAGATTTCAGTAACGTTTTTGACACTGTTGCACATAGAAGGCTTATCAATAAACCGCAATCTTTGCTATTTTTTCTTTTTTTTAATTCTTTATTTTTCGTGCATGAGATATCATAACAAGCTTTTATGCAAGAGCATGTTTTGAGATAGACAAAGCATAACAGTTGTGGCATAGAAAATAAGTGCACATTTTTGTTTTATATAATAGACATCAGGAAAAAAAACAGGGTAGTAGTCAGTGGTGTGGTAACACATTTAATGATAAAACTCAGGTTGTATCGGCTGACTATGTAAGTGAAGATTACAGGAGTAACCTAGTGTTTTGCATGTGACAATTGACTGACCAAGCACAGCGTGTGTACACATCTTTAACCCCTTAAGGACCAAACTTCTGGAATAAAAGGGAATCATGACATGTCACACATGTCATGTGTCCTTAAGGGGTTAAGCAACCCTGTCTAGTGAGTCAGGTGTGTAAAAACAGGAAGTGTTATAGGTAATGCAATATTCAAGTACTATTAGGCACAGCTCGGGTTATCAACCTTCTGCTGGTTGTTGAGAAAGTATTGTAGCCACTGAAGTCTGGGCAGCCTTACATTGCCATGTGTCTCAGCATAATCAGCAGGGTAATAAATGAGGATCTGTATAGCAGCCCTATACAAAGTTCACAATAGCAGGTTTGTACATTCTCACCTCATATGTGTCACAATTAGCATGTTAAAGGGACTACCTAGGTGAGGCAAATCACATTGGGGGGGTAGGCACAAAAGAATACAAGAGACAGTCCGTTGGATCCTGCAAGGGTTCAGTACCACAGTAGTGGGTTACAGTAGTGTGCACCAGACAACCCGTCCAAGCTCAGCCGATGCCCACGTGTGGAAAGTTCCTGATGGAAGTAGGGGATTTACTGGGTTGTTCACAGTTGTGGCTCAGTCGTGCGATGTTCCTCCGCTCGCGGCCGGTGTCGTATGAAGCAGGGCTTGGATCAACGCATGTAGTTCGGTGGGAGCGTGGTAAGTCCTCCCTCCAGCCCCAGGCCGGCTTAAAGGCCGACATCTTCATTCCACGGACCCAGTTTTCTCGAGGGGCTGGGTCCCTCTCCCTGTGGGTCTTGCTGGTCAGCCGCTGGCTGCGGCTGTGGGCCCTCCGTCTGTGTGGGCGATGTCGCAGGGTTGCGCCCCAAGTGACCTTCGGCCCAGGTAGGCCAATAATAGGAGGTTTGGGCGTTCTTAGTGCAGCTTGGCCCGAGGGGATCTTCTGCGCCTTCTGGCTCTCGCCTCTCCGCTCTTCTACCCGAGCTTGTACTGGTGAGATTGCACAGCCTTTCATCAGGGCTTCCCAGAAGCACTGGAAGTGCCTGTCTATCCGCTGCATAATGTGGTCCATTGAGTTGTGGATCGTTGCAGTTTGCTCACTTGCGGTCTCTGTAGGCCAGGGTGTCGTCGCCATTTTGTTGAGTGTGGCTAGGCCCTGATTCTGCTGAGTAGTTAGGTGCTGTGGCAGTCGATTAGCATAGTCCTGTGGGGACCAGGATAACCCCCGCCGGTCCAAGGGGGGAGGGGGAGTCATTTGCTGGGGTTTCTGCATCAGCTTATGAGCCCAAGAATTGGCCGCTTCCTCGTGGCTCAGCCGTGTGTAGGCATCAAGCCTCCAGTGAAGCAATCCAGTGACCCATACTCGCAAAAAAGGTATCGTCGGGTGCAGCTACCTCTCCTGGTTATTAGTAGTGGGAACAGCGATCTGAGTGTGCGGGTTGGCAAGTAAGGCACCCCGATTTTAGTCTCCAGACGTGGGAGCTTGTGCTAAACACGTCTGGCCTGCTTGGTTGCTAGGCTCTGCCCCCCAATCTTTGCTATTTTTAAGTTTGGATTCCAATATTGTTGAATTGGTAAGGCAGTGGCTGAGTGACAGGCAACAGAGGGTTGTACTCAATGGAGTATATTCGAAGCATGGGCTTGTCACCAGTGGGGTACCTCAGGGATCTGTCCTTGGACCCATTCTCTTTATTATTTTTATTAGTGATATTGCAGAAGGTCTTGATGGTAAGGTATGTCTTTTTGCTGATGATACTAAGATATGTAACAGGGTTGATGTTCCAGCCAAATGGCAAATGATTTAGGTAAACAAGAAAAATGGTCAGAGTTGTGGCAACTGACATTTAATGTGGGTAAGTGCAAGATAATGCATCTTGGACGTAAAAACTCAAGAGCAGAGTACAGAATATTTGATAGAGCCCTAACCTCAACATCTGAGGAAAGAGATTTAGGGATGATTATTTCTGATGACTTAAAGGTAGACAGACAATGTAATAGAGCAGCATGAAATGCAAGCAGAATGCTTGGTTGTATAAGGAGAGGTATTAGCAGTAGAAAGAGGTGAAAGAAGTGTGCCATTGTACAGAACACTGGTGAGACCTCACTTGGCGTATTGTACGCAGTACTGGAGACCGTATCTCAAGAAGGATATTGATACTTTAGAGAGAGTTCAGAGAAGGGCTACTAAGCTGGGTTCATGGATTGCAGGATAAAACTTACAAGGAAAGGTTAAAGGAACTTAACATGTATAGCTTGGAGGATAGACGAGACGGGGGGATATGATAGAACATTTAATTACATAAAGGGAATCAACACAGTAAAGGAGGAGACTATATTTAAAATAAGAAAAACTGCCACAACAAGATAACATAGTCTTAAATTAGAGGGGCAAAGGTTTAAAAATAATATCAGGAAGTATTACTTTACTGAGAGGGTAGTTGATGCATGGAACAGGCCTTCCAGCTGAAGTGGTAGAGGTTAACACAGTAAAGGAGTTTAAGCATGCGTGGGATAGGCATAAGGCTATCCTAACTGTAAGATAAGGCCAGGGACTAATGAAAGTATTTAGAAAATTGGGCAGACTAGATGGGACGAATGGTTCTTATCTGCCGTCACATTCTTTGTTTAGTAAACAAACAGTTGAAAACACAACCTTTTTATTTGAATAATCATTCTGTAGCTCTCATTTAAATATACTTTCTCGGAGCTATACACCACACCATCCTCTTAAAGTCCTAAATGTCTCTCGAGTTAGCCTTGACTATCTTATAGGCTCTTTATATTGCCTAAATTGTAGATTGTAATTCTAACCCATAATCTCCATGAACATCAAAAATCAAACATGAATTCACATCCACAGGTTATCTGTAAGAATGTTTCTCAATACTGCTATCCACATTTGCCATTTTCAATAAAAAAAACATCCTTAGGTGCACACCCTTCTGGAATGTGCTGTGCATGGTTATGATAACGAGAGTAGGCAGCTGCTTCTCTTTTGAACTGAGGTATCTTGTTTTGGATAAGTTCTAGAAATCTGTGGAGAAGTATCTACTGAGTAATATTTTGAAACTAAAATGAGAAGAGAGGACACAATCTAGAGATCAGTAGTAAGGAAGCAGAGGAAAAACATTAGTGCTGAGGAAAAGACCTATAATATAGCTAAGGCCATAGCTAATGATAAATTGAGAAATGTTTTGATAGATAAGGATGAAGTGGATGGTGTAGTGAGTGGTAACTCCAAAAAAATATAGTCAATCTTGAGGAGTGATTATTTGACTAGGAACAAGGTGTCAACTCTGTTTGGTAGGCATTTTGAGGATATCAAGTTCATAGTAAGACCTGTCCTGGAAGTAACACATGTAAGAGTTGTGATTTTACATTTGTTTCCATCACTACAGGAAAAATGTATTTGATAAGAGCTTATGTTAACCCCTTAAGGACGGAGCCAAATGTACACGTTGTGAACGAAACAAAATGTAAACAAAGCCTGGCATTTGCGCTACATGTCTGTCCAACCGTAATTCACCTCTTTCATATTAAATGCACCCACCCTTATTATATATCATTTTATTCAGGGGAAACAGGGCTTTCATTTACTATCAAATATTTAGCTATTAAACATAATTTAATATGAAGAAAATGAGATTTTTTTTTATTTTTTTAGTTCTACATGACATTTTAACGGTCAATGTCATAATACTGTTTTCTTTTACTGAAATAAAATACACATATTTGTATTCAGCAAAGTCTCACGTGTAAAACAGTACCCCCTATGTACAGGTTTTATGGCATTTTGGGAAGTTACAGGGTCAAATATAGCATGTTACATTTGAAATTGAAATTCACCAGATTGGTTACGTTGCCTTTGGGACTTTATAGTAGCCCAGGAATGAAATTTACACCCATAATGGCATACCATTTGCAATAGTAGACAATCCAAAAAACACTGGACATACCCCGTTTGCAATACCTTGTCTACTATTGCAAATGGTATGCCATCATAGGGGTAATTTTCATTCTTGGGCTACCATAGGGTTTCAAAGGCAACGTAACCAATCTGGCGAATTTTAATGTGAAAAAAATGAAACGAAAGCCTTATATTTGACGCTGTAACTTTTGAAAACACCATAAAACCTGTACATGAGGGGTACTGTTGTACTCGGAAGACTTTGCTGAACACAAATATTTGTGTTTCAAAACAGTAAAAAGTATCGCAGGAATAATATCGTCCGTGTAAGTGCTGTTTGCGCGTGAAAAATGCAAAAAACTTAACTTTTACTGACGATATTATCGTTGTAATATATTTTACTGTTTTGAAACACTAATATTTGTGTTCAGCGAAGTCCCCCGAGTAGAACAGTACCCTCCATGTACAGGTTTTATGGTGTCTTGGAAAGTTATAGGGTTAAATATAGTGCTAGCAAATTAAATTCCCTTTACTTTCGGCATGGGTTGTCAGGCAGGTCCCGCTAATTGTAATTAATTAAGATACCCAATTATGTAAAAATATTACATAAATATATATGTAGAATTAATATATGTATATATACGTATGTGAATATATATGTATATATATATATATATATAATTTTTAAAAAATATTTTTATTTATATATAGGTATATATATAATGATATATACGTATATATTTATGTATATAGATATATATATTATTTCATTCTACGTGTATTTTGATATAAATATATATATATTAATATCACAAAACAGTTAGAACGAAATAACACACATCTATATATTTTTTTTTTTTACGTATTTACATATTTAATTTTTTTATATTATATATAAATATATATATATAACAATAATTATATATATTTAATCAGTATCAGTCTACGTGTAATTTGATATTAATATATATATATATATATATATATTAATAGTAAAATACACCTATACAGTGTACGTGTGTGTATGTATATGTGTATATATACTTAGATCATATATATATATATATATATATATATATATGATCTAAGTATATATTATTATTTTTTTACACTGATTAACTTTTATTTATTTTATTTTCAGCCAGCAGGGGGACCACCTGTCATTACAGGCAGCCCCCTTGCTGGCAATGCAGGAGGCAGCTACCCCCGGCCATGTGATTGTGGGGTCCTCGCAAGGGACCGGGTAAGTACAGAAAGACCGGAGGGCGTACTATTACGCCCGGCGGCGTTTAGAGCCGCTTAAAATAGGGCGTAATAGTACGCCCTCTGGTCTTAAGGGGTTAATGGTAACATATCTCTTAAAGTTCACTTTGTGTTTCATTTTTTATTTGCTAGCAAGACGCAGATTAAAAATGAAATTTGTCCCTGAAAACATAGTGAATATGGTTACCCTAAATATAGAAATTGCCAATAAACTGACTATGATCAGTTTCATGGCAAACGTATTTCATGTTTTTGTATTCAGGATATTGAAAGGTTTCTTTATCCTATCCTTTTGTTTTATTTGGTTGTTTGAATTATTTCAGTCTTGTTGATACATCACACCGTTGTAATCAGAATTATTCAACCCCATCAAAAATCAGGCTTATTGTAAAAATGTACAGACTTTCAGCTGTTGAAATAGCTCAACACAATGCATGCTTCAAGTGTTTTTCTCCAAATTCAACTGACAATGCAACTTATAATGCCTTCTCCAAGTTATTCAACCCCTTCATGGCAAGCATCTTTAGTAAAGCACCCTATTGCTGTAATGACTTGCTGCTATTGAGATGCATAGCCAGACTCCAATTTTTGTCAGTGTTCCTGAGGAATCTAAGCCAATTGCCCATGAGCAATATCTTCTTCAGTAATATTCTTGGGTGCGTGTGCTGCAACTGCCTTCTTCAGATCCCACCAGAGATTTTCTATGGGGTTCAAGGTGACTGTGATGGCCACTGTAGAATTTTCCAGGACTTCTTCTGCATCCAAGCCTTGGTGGAATTTGAGGTATGCTTGGGATCATTGTCTTCTTAGAAGGTTCAACGGCGCCCAAGCTTCAGCTTCCTCACAGACAGCATAATGTTTGCTTCAAAGATTTTCTGATATTTCAATTAATCTATCTAGCCTTTAACACTCTGCAGGTTTCCAGTGCCAGTGGATGCAAGGCAGCCCCAGAGCATCACAGAGTCACCACAATGCTTAACTATAGGCAGAGTGTTCTTTTCAGCATTTGATTCATTCTTCTTCATCCAGGCATACTGCTGATCCATTGGGCCAAAAAGTTCCAGTTTTGTTTCATAGCTCCACAGAACAGAATCCCAAAACTTCTGTGGCTTAGTTATATGATTTTGAGCATTTTAGAGCTGACTTTTTCTTGTGCCTTTGGATCAGTAGTGGTGTGTATCTTAGAGTTCTGGCATAGAACCCTAATGTGTTTAGTACCCGCCTTACTGTGCTCACTGAAACCTTGCCTGTTTCCACCAAGTCTTGCTGCAGGTCTTTTGAAGTTACTTGAGGATTTTTCACAACCTGCCTTCTCAAAAATCTTGTTGCAGCTATTATAGCTTCCTTGTTGTTCCCCATCCAGGTAGTGTAACCACTGTGCCTTAAACTTTGAATGTGTCTGTAGGAACATTCAGTGCCTTCACTATCTTTTTGCATCATGTTCCTTGTTTGTGCAGGGTGATGGTCTCTTCTCTTAACTTTGTGGACCATTCTTCTGACTTAGCCATATTTCTAACATATTTCTGCAGTCAAATGTGACACTCAACAAACCCCTAGCCAGTTCAGGTATTTCAAGTGTTCCGGCTCAAGCACACCTGATGCAACTAATGAAGCCCCTGTGTCGCATCAGGTGTGCTTAAGACAACACCTGTTTTGCATATTTGTGCTGTTGAGAAGGATTCTATTCAGAGGGTTGAATATTTTTGAGACTGGAGAATATTTTACAAGTTTTATTTTTAGAAGAATTTGAGGAAACCACTTAAAGCATTCATTGTATTGAGCTATTTCAATTGCTTTTGTTTGATTTGTTCATTGTGAACATCTGAAAATCTGTACATTTTGACAATGACCCTGATTTTCAGTGGGGCTTGAATAATTTTGATTATATTTATAAATAGAAATATTTGCACAAACACAGATGGTTTTGTTTTGCACAGTTTTAAGGAGTGTTTTGTGTCTGAATATATGGCATTGATGCAATGGATTGTGAAAGAGGATATTACCACAAAGGGGCATATAAATAGGAAAAGACCCTTTTAGTTATTGGAGAGTTGGTTAATTATAGAGTTATTCACTCCCAAAACCACAGAATACCCTGGACACAGCACCCAGAAAATTTGTGGTCTGCTTCCAGAATTACAAAGACAAAGTCGCAACTCAGACAGCTCTTAAAGGGACATCTCCATATAAATTAGAAAACTTAGCATTAACCTTCCAAGCAGACCTGTCTGGAGATACTTTGCAGTGGCGACGATCCATGCAGACCTTCACCTTCCTCCTCAGGGAACATGGCATCCGGTACCGATGGTGCTTCTTGCGGACCCTGACGGTCCTACATGCTGACTCCACACACTCCATTCAAGACCTACAAAGTGCGGCTGCACTGCTGAAGAAGCTGTGCCTCCCATGAGACTCGCTGAACAAAACAGGTCAACAAACAGCACCTAAACCTGCGCATAGATGGGACCCAGAGAAAGTGACCCCTTTTGTCCCTCAGAAGGCCTTCTCAGAGGCCTACGCAGTTGCCACAACCTGAGGCTCTATCCTGCCCATGAAGTACAGAGTGTTATCTGCTGACCAGAACTGAACTTTGTTCTAAGATTACTTTCTTCTGATTTCTTACAAATTATATGCAGGTCTTTTCACAGTTTCTTTTTTTTTTTTTTTTGAAAGTTACACAATGTAATAATGTAATAAATATGGCACACCACACATAATAGAAAATTGGGCAGCATGGCCAATCAAATTACACCCCCTCCTCCTGCCCCTCCTCCCCCCGCCTCTTTACTAGAGACCGACTGCGTGACAGAGCACAATTTGGCCCAGAGGCGTTAAACTTACATAGCCATCAGCCATTAGTCCAGATCTTACTACCCAAGCAGCACAAGCCACAACTGGACTGTAGGCATAAGCAGTGCAAATTATTCATTATATTTCTTTTTTTTTTTAATCAAATATTTTTATTAGATTTTGCTTCAGTATCAAATGACAAGCAACATCAATACATACAAAAATAAACTGAACATTACATTTACAATTAAACATAAAAAGATAAACAGAAATACATCTGTTGATCTGTTTACATCCATCCTATTACAATACTAGTGGTCTTATATGTGTCAGGATTGCGATTTGATCCAGCACGTAGAATTGTCTCACACCTAGGACTAAGGATAACATCTAACCGGACCTTAGGATGGCCGGACTTAACGTATTCTGGAATAGTCAGAATACTAGCTGAGGTCAGGGATACAGAATCAGACACAACGATGAGAAAAAGCCAGATGTCAAGGATACCAGAAATCAGGGAAGTCAAAGCCAAAGTCAAAAACCAAAATATCAAGATCAGGGACACACTCTCAGATTACCATCAGGCAGAAACCACGACAGGTCAATGAGAGAATGTAAAAATTAGTTTAAATAACCCACCTGTTATTCCGATTGGTTGTAACCGGCCTTTGACCTCAAAACGTGCACGCGCGTGATGTCAGACGCACGCCGACATTGTCATCAACGTGGGCGGTCAAGGGGCTATAAAGTGATATAGATCCGCAGTGGCCGACATCCATAGACATGCTGGATTTATCAGGTATCTGGGCGCATGGTTACAGATGGGCACAACTATTCCCGTCAGGACGGTAAATAACATCATAGACATTTCTATGTACGGATGAATCCGTTACAATATGACCCTCCTACAAAAGTGAACCTCCACCTATTTCTGTCAACGAGAGTCCCCAGTTTATCTTTTACCTTTTCTTAATTGACTTTTCATCTCTGATATAATTTAGATATGATACGCAATTCTTTTTCCCATTTATCCCATAAACCGGAAGTCTTGTTTGGGCATTTAGAATAACTCTTTTCCATTTTTATTTAATATAATAATTATGAGCTTAATTGGGTAACAGTAAAATCATATTCTCCTTTTCAGTTTCTTGCTATCACTATCTATGCAGCCAACAAGCAATGGGTTATAAAAAAATCTGTCTTCCTTAAATTAGGCCAGTAAATATGTAGAAGCATTACTTCCAGAGTTGTTGATAATTTGACGTCACATAGTTTAAATATAATGTTTTGAATCCACTGCCATACGACTGACACTTTTTTACATGTCCACTACATATGAACATAGCTACCCTTCTCCGCTCTACAATTCCAACAATCCTCACTAGATCCCGGAGAGAATTTCGATAGTTTTGATGGAGTCATGTACCATCGATTGATTAATTTAAAATGGGTTTCTATCAAAGCAAGTAAGTGAACATATTTATTGATTTTATAGGAAGAGGATAACCATTCCTTTTTGTCTATTTCTATCATTGGATCTTTGGTCCATTTTCTTATAGCTAAAGGTGTTTCTGTGATATTATTCTCTTCTGTCAATTTAACACATCTAGAAAAGAGCTGTTTTACTCTTTTCTCCTGTAGTATTCTTTTCATTATTTTGTAAAGGTTACCTTTTGATACTAATATAGCTCTCTCCATAAAATGTTTAACCCTTGTATAGGTGAAAATGTCCTTGACTGTCAGGTAAAATTATAATACCAGCATATTAAAATGTTTTATTTTATTATCTCTAACTAAATCTTTAATTGTGTTTATATGCTTAGCTTTCCATGTATTTAAAGAGATGTTCTTCATTATTCTTTCTAATTAATTCAAATTTTGAAAAAGTCAAAGATTTTATTTTCAAGATCAATTTTCTTATTTATTTTATTTCATATAGGGATAGTTTGATTCAATATATAAGAGTTAGATAAATAAAAAAAATTATATTCCATATTCAATCTACTGGATCCTCTATTTGACTAACTTCCATTTCGATATTAAACCATGCCTCTGTTTTCTTTTGCTCTAATTGGCGTGTCATAACATGCACAATTATACCAGCCTCATAATATTTTATTATATTTGGAAATCCTAATCCCCAATTTTTACTTCCTCTAGATATCAGTGAGTTTTTAATCCTTGTTTTTTTTCCTTTCCAAACAAAATTAGAGAAGGCAGTTGTAGCACAATGGGCTTTGCCACAGCATCTCTATTTGTACTAGGGGGCTGTCCATAACCTTTTGTTGCTTTATTTTCCTGAGATTGTAATTGTTCATTACTTGTGGAAACAAGTAACAAGCTTTTATTTTTTATCGTTCGTCTGGTTGTTCGGTAAGAACCCCTTTTCAGCTATTCTCAACATAGGATTCGACAAACGAACTAAGTACCGAACAACCAGGTCACCCATGAGAGGATCATGGCACCAATTGACCCCCTAACCTGGTTCACACTCTCCCAATTGAAAACACACGAACCAACTGAGTGATCCCCTGGGTGGCCGCAGTTCGTTATGGGTATACGTGGCGGCAGTCTTCCTAGAATACAAATTACACCAGCGGTGTTTGGTCGTCGAGTGTCTGGAACCCAAATTGGACACTCAGCAGCACAGACACCGCAGATACTTCCATCCTCGTGTAAGTTCGTGTAAACTCAGGGGAACAGAGCGGCATTCGGTGAAAGGAATCACACGAACGAGATGAGTTGAACGAACCAAGGCACGAACCATGTTTTTATGCACTTTCATGTATTTCAGATGCTCGAACAGAGACTGACCGCACAGCCCAAACACATGGAACCTCGTGTGCGGTCAGTAAAACTAAGACCTCCATAAAACTGTCGAACCCCTGATCCAATCTGGGTGATTTCTCAGTATGTTGCTTCCCCAGATCGGGGCTATCAGGAGATGTCTGAATTGTGGGAATATGATATGTTTTTGGGGTACTTCTAGAAATGTATAAACATTGTGATTTTTTTGTTTGGAGATAATTGAGTTGATACAGTAATTAACTCAATTATCTCCTAAGCAGAGGGGAGGGATTGTGTGAACTGTATGGGAGTGACTTATTACCTGACTCTGTGAGTATTGGTTGTTTTCTGTTTTTACCTGTGCCCAACAAGGTCCAACTGGGTGGTAACCTTTTGGGCAAAACATGCATAAAAGGCCAGCCTGGCCATTAAAAGTTCAGTTGTGCTCCTAATACTGAGTGTCGTCCAGTATTATCTTATGCTTATGCCTGCCTTCTTAAATTATCCTGCTTGTTACTGAGCAGCTGTTGGAGTAGCCAGCGGAGAAGAAGCCCTGCTATCACTAGCTCTCCACTACAGCAGTTTTTACCATTGTTAGCCAAGGCTTAGGGATCGCTATAGGGAGCATCCTAAACAGATATATCCATTTTGGAAGAACATTAGACATGTGCAATTTGTTTCGGTCCGAATATGAATTCAGACGAATTTTGGCCAATTCGGACATTCGGGTACTTCCGAATGTCTGAATAGCCGAAGTGCCGAATTGCCGAGGTCCTGAAGTTCCGAAATTACCAAAGCGCCGAAGTGCTGAAGTTCCGAAGCACAGTATTGCCTAAGTGCTAATATAATTACCCAGTGGATGAAGAAGAATTTTACACTGTATACAAGTTTAAATAAAAAGTATACAAACATAGCCAGGTTCAGCTGTAAGCATTTGCAACACTTACAATAATCAAGTAACACACATTCATTTAAATGTAAGTTACTTATCCTGTCAATGTAATGACAGGAATGAATAAGTAGATAACTCCCTAATTCCCACAGTATTAGGGAGCTATCTACTAAAAGGCTGAAAGACCTGAATTGGTCTTTCAGCCAAATTTACTAATACTAAGTAAAGATTAGTAAATTATGCCCCTACTATACCCCTAAACTGAACAGCCTGTGGCTGCTCACTGTAAAAAAAAAAAAAAAAACACGTCCCCCCCTCCCGTGCCACGTGAGTGGGGGCTTCTAACCTGAAGAGGGGACCTATTCTCCCCTCCGGCCCCCACCCCTGAACGGCGGGTGGGGGGTCCTAAAGTAAAATAAGGGGGGGACCTATTGTCCTCACACCGGCCCCCACCCATGAGCGGTGGGTGGGGGCCCTAAATACTAATTAGGGGGACCTAATGTCCTCCCCCCACCCCTGAGCAGTGGGTGGGGACCATAAAATAGAATGAGGGGGGGGACCTAATGTCCTCCACCCTGGCCCCCACCCCTGAGCGGTGGGTGGGGGCTCTAAATTAGAATGAGGGGGGTACCTAATGTCCTCTCCCCTGGCCCCCAGCCCTGAGCGGTGGGTGGAGGCCCTAAAAACTAATTAGGGGGACCTAGTGTTCTCCCCCCTGGGCCCCACCCCAGAGCGGTGGGTGGGGGCCCTAAATTAGAATGAGGGGGGGACCTAATGTCCTACCACCTGGCCCCAACCCCTGAGCAGTGGGTGGGGGCCCTAAATACTAATTAGGGGGGACCTAATGTCCTACCACCTGGCCCCCACCCCTGAGCGGTGGGTGGGGGCCCTAAAAACTAATTGGGGGGGACCTAAGGTCCTCCCCCCTGGCCCCCACCCCTGAGCAGTGAGTGGGGCCCTAAATTAGAATGAGGTGGGAACCTAGTGTCCTCCCCCTGGCCCCCACCCCTGAGCGGTGGGTGAGGGCCCTAATTACTAATTGGGGGGGACCTAATGGGGGGGACCCTGAGCGGCGGGTGGGGGCAATAAATAAAAAATTAACCCCCTCCCCAGGTGACTAGGGGTCCCCAAACCCCTAGTCACCCCCCTCCCCAAATAAAATTAACCCCTACCTACCCCCCTCACCCTAAAAATAGTGAACGGGGACCATTAGCTAAACCTGTTAAAAAATAAAATAAAACTTACCATTTGATGTTTTCTTTCTTCTAAAATCTTCTTTTTTCAGCCCCAAAAAAGGCCAAATAAAAAGCCATAATAACCGACGCACTTTAAAAAAAAAAAATATCCATCTTCACCCGGCGAGAGCTCCAAGCCTTGCCCCGCCCTGCAATTAGGCTCAGAGCACTCTGATTGGTGGGTTTAAGCCATCCAATCAGAGTGCTCTGACAGGTAAATGAAGAGACTGACAGGTAAGTCTCTACATTTACCTGTCACAGCACTCTGATTGGTTGACTTGAAATCCACCAATCAGAGTGCTCTTTGTCATTTTACACAGCGTGGGAAAGTTCTTTGGAATTTTCCCACGCTGTGTAATTTGACTCATAACTCTCTGATTGGTGGATTAAGTAACCAATCAGAGAGCTTTATAAGCCTTGCCCTGCCCTGCCCTGCAGAGCTCAGTCTGCGCGGAGCCCTCGCCGGGTGAAGCTGGATATTTATTTTTTGCGCTCTTTTTTTTTAGTTTTTTCTTAAAGTGCGCTGGTTATTATAATTTTTTATTTGGACTTTTTTAGGGCTGAAAAAAGAAGATTTTAGAAGAAAGAAAACATCAAATGGTAAGTTTTATTTTATTTTTTTAACAGGTTTAGCTAATGGTCCCCGCTCACTATTTTTAGGGTGGGGGGGTAGGTAGGGGTTAATTTTTTGGGGGAGGGGGGTGACTAGGGGTTTGGGGACCCCTAGTCCCCTGGGGAGGGGGGTTAATTTTTTATTTAGGGCCCGAACCCGCCGCTCAGGGGTGGGGGCTGGGGGGAGGACAATAGGTCCCCCCCTAATTAGTATTTAGTGCCCCACCCTCCGCTCAGGGGTGGACGCAAGGGGGGAGGACATTAGGTCCCCCCCTAATTAGTATTTAGGGCCCCCACCCACCGCTCAGGGGTGGGGGCCAGGGGGGAGGACACTAGGTCCCCCCTCATTCTAATGTAGGGCGCCCACCCACTGCTCAGGGGTGGGGGCCAGGGGGAGGACACTAGGTCCCCCCCCTCATTCTAATGTAGGGCCGCCACCCACCACTCAGGGATGGGGGCCAGAGGGGAGGACATTAGGTCCCCTCCTAATTGGTATTTAGGGCTCCCACCCACCGCTTAGGGGTGGGGGCCAGGGAGAGGACAA